ATATATATACACATATATTTAATATATATAATCGGGGTCAGATCGAGGTGGGGAAGGGACCTCATTTCCCATCCTTGATCCTAACCCTATTAATTCCCCTCCCTGTTCCCGCTCTGCCAAAACAATCCTAATGAAGGGTGATTTGGCACGACCTAGTAAGAAGGGGTCATGTAGACGCGATCTGCTCGAGGGGTGACAACTCAGCCAAACGAACCCAGTTCACAACATTCGGAGCTCGGGTATTCAGTCATCTCGGCCTAAAAACCACCTTGGCGTAGAGACACCTCAACACCCAATCCAGTTCGGGACTAAAGAACTGAAGTACCAGTTCGAAGCTAAAAAACCGAAACACCATGTAATCGACTCCAAAGGCCTCCCCAACGGACCTCAAATTTCTCGGGATCACGACGAGACTCATCCTAGCTCCGCCTGAATTGGCGGAAAACGATAAACCTTATCAACTAATGCATTGCTCTCCTTAAAAAATGGAACAGATCTTATCCGCACAGCGCAGAGATCCCAGAGCTCTTTCGTAAGGCCCACGACTACTCCACTATATAAGGACATCAAACCCCAAGGCAAAGGTATGTGTGATTATTAACTCACTAGCATTCAAGCATTCAAGTATTCAGCTCGCATCCACAGTATAGAACTGACTTAAGCATCGGAGTGACCTCGTCAGGTTAGCCACCCCCGGGTTCTCTGATCTATTATTTTGTAGCTTGGTCCAACTCGCCGCACAACTGGAGTTCGGATCATCTTCCAGATAGGAGTGTCTAGATCGCACACCATCAATTGGCATCGTCTGTGGGAATTCGATCGAAAGGTCATCCCAATTTTAGTTGCAGTTTTAGCTTTGATTTATCCCAATGGATTCTTCTGGCAACACCAGAAAAAGAATCAAGATGAACGTCATCGGGGGGCAAGATCAGCAATCAACCTTCCCCCAAGGTCCTATGGTATGCATTGGCTAGTTTACTATTCCTCTTACAACTTCAGGAGTCCCATCATTGTTCGTACCGCAAGGCACTACGCAAGTGAGCGTCCCACTTGCCCTAGTGGGCGTAACTTTCTCCGAGCCATCTATGGTTCCTCATGGAATCAGGCACTCCCAATTCCATGACCTCGTTCAGTGTGTCCAGACAATATAGATCCAGATGCAGCAAGTCCAACAGTACTATCTGTACCAGTAGTATCAACAGTAGTTCCCATCATTGTAGCTAAACCAACAGCCAATTCCACCCCGGCACCCAGGGTTGCATCAGGGCCAGAAGCCGAATTGGCCTGGAACTAGCCAAAACGTCAACTGATCCCCCCATCGGGGTGAGGGGACCTCGTAGGTGTTGGTTCCTCCCAGGGGTTAGGTTTCACCCCATGGGAGGAGAGATGGTCAGCACACTCCTCCAGTCTCGTAAGGAAATTTTAGAAAAAGGCTTAACAGGGCTAATCCGGCTCGACACTCCCAACAGGAAAATAATGGCTCACGAGGAGATAACAACTAGCCCGAAGTTCGAGGTGCGAACTTGAGGCAGGACCTCTCCGTCCCTCGTGATAGCCGGTGCGAACTCCACAACCAAGAGAACCCGACAAGAAGGAACCAGGATCCATCTCGCGATAATGTCTGTAGTGATGCCGAGATACCAGATCAGACCGAAATTAGCAGCACCAACGCTGAGCCGGTGAAGAAGCCGCAGCGGCGACGTCACAAGACACGTCGCTCCTCGGCAAGAAACAGTCTTCCAGTGAAGTCAAGCTAGCAAGTAGAGCAAGCTAAAGAAAAGGAAGAAGTGAGCTTGGTAGCAACGAAAACTGCGCCTCCATTGCTTTGTCGGTTATCTCCTCTGTCTCCCGAGCTCCTAGCAACTCTGATGCCGAAAGACTTCATGGTTTTCCTGTTAGATAAGTATGACGGGTCGTTTGACCCCAACGATCATGTGGATTCCTTTCAGTCTCAGATGCACCTAGCTGGGGATGACAAATCCTGCATGTGTATGGCGTTCTCCACTACGTTTAGGGGGGTAGTCTGAACTTGGTATCGGAACCTCGCACCAGGATCCCTCAAAAGCTGGTCCCAATTTGCCAACCTGTTTACTACGCATTTCATTACCGGCAAGAAGTGTCCGAAGTTGCAAGAAAGCCTTCAGAACGTGGTTCAGAGGGAAGGAGAATCAATCAGAAGCTACATAAAATGTTTCAACAATACTTGCTTATAGATACTGGACCTCGATCCAGCGGTGCGACTCACTGCGGTAAAGAAAGGAATCACCCATAAGGAGTTCAAGTGGCACGTGGTAGCTAACAAACCGAAAGATATCACTGAGTTCCTTAAGTTGGCAGATCAGTTCATCGGTACCGAGGAGGAGATCAAACAAAAGATTGACAATCCACCACTGGAAAAGAGGAAGAGAGAGAATGAAGGGACGAGCAATGGTGGGCAGAAAAGAAAGAAGAGCAAGTCCCCGAGCAGGGGAAGAAGCAAGTCAAGAAGCCAGTCCCCTTCGCACGGGCACAAGCCAGGTTGGCGCTCTAGGATCCCGCTCATGTAGAGAACAAGCTACACGCCTTTGAGTGCTAAGCGAGGAGAGATCTTAATGGCTATTAAGGATTCCTCCTTCATCAAATGGCTTCCCATGTTAAGGGGAGACCCGACAACAAGAAACCCGAATGTGTACTGTCATTTCCCCCGAGATCATGGACACAATACGGAGAATTGCAGGAATCTCCGCGACGAGATCAAGGAACTCATCCGCCGCGGGTACCTGAAGAATTACATATTGCGAGAAGAGAGGGGGCAAGCAGACCGAAAGGCAGATCGACAGGGGGACCAGAGAAGGAATGGCCCCGAGGCTAGCAAGCAAAATGAGCAACCACCTCGACAGCTGTCAGGGAAAAGACCAACCCATGGGGTGATCAATATGATCACCGGTGGGTCCATCATTGTTGGATGTACATCGGTAGCTGGGAAGACCTCGGTCCGCAAATTGGAGGACGAAGACAAAAACCCGCCAAAGCGACCTCGGCTCAAAGAACTGATCTACTTCACAGAGGACGATGCACGCGGGATCCAGTACCCTTATGATGATGCTTTAGTAGTAAAGTTATGGATCAACGACTTTGAGGTGAAACACATGTTAATAGACTTAAGCATCTCACTAGACATACTCTTCAAGGAGACCTTTGGCAAATTACAACTACAGTAGAGCGACCTAAAACCAGTAGATACGCCTTTGATAGGGTTTAGTGGCGAGGTGGTTAGACCTCTTGGTTGAATTACAGTACCCGTGGAAGCCGGCACGTGGCCAAACATTGTGCGATTTGAGCACACGTTCTTGGTAGTCACAACTCCCTCCCCCTACAACGCGATAGTAGGTCGGCTTATCACGCACGTTTTACGTGCAATAATGTCCACTTACTACTTAGCAATGAAATTCCCAATTGATTACTAGGTGGGAGTCGTCGAGGTGACCAGTTCGAATCCCTCAAGTGCTATATGGCTGCTTTGAAAGGAAAAGCAAAACTGGCAGAGGACGTCGAGCTTGAGCAACCGGTGGAGTATACCGATGAGCGAGCTTCCTTGAAAGAAGAAACGGTCCACATACCAGTCTCTACCGTCAAACCAGTCAAAATTCTTCAGATCGGTGCCTCGATCAGTGAACCACTTCGAACCTAGCTAGTAAGTTTCTTACTTGAAAATTTAGATATTTTTGCTTGGTTTGCGGTAAAGATGCTCGGGATTGATCCAAAAATTATAACTCACAAACTTAATACCGACCCTTTAGTCAGGCCAGTAAGATAAAAAATGCAACCTCGCCCCAGAACGTTGGAGGGTAGTTGATGAAGAAGTCGGGAAGCTCCTCATGGCAGACTTCATTAGGGAAGTCCATTACCCGAGCTGGGTGGCCAACCCAGTTCTAGTGAAAAAGGCCAATGGCAAGTGGCGCATGTGCGTCGACTACACCGACCAGAACAGAGCCTGCCCTAAAGACTGCTTCCCGTTGTCCAAAATCGACTGCCTAGTGGATGCAATCTCAGGGCATGAGTTGCTGAGCTTTCTGGACGCCTATTCCGGTTACAACCAGATTAGGATGGATCCCGCTGATGAAGACAAGACCGCTTTCATAACTGAGCTCGAGT